GGATTATTTGAAATAAATTTTTGTTTAATATTTGCAGCAAATTTTTTTCATAAATTCTAGTTTAAAGTAAAGAAAGGGAAAAGCAAATGAAAGCGGTGGTAAGAGACAACTTTCATGAGGCGGCGACTTTTCTTCCATTATTGTCAATTGAGAGTAAATTTATTTCAGCCAGTATCTAATATGGGTTGATCGAAAATTTTCAATTTGGATCTGTCAAGTAATCGTTGCATTTTTTAAGCATACTTCAAACAGTCATCATATTTTTCCTAAGTTATAAAGTAAGTTTATTGCATGCTATTACAAATGAAAATTAGCATATGACATTTTTGGATATTTATGTCCGACGGATAAATTACCGTAATTGTTTCTTTCAGGGTAGTACATTTCGGGTTGTTTTAAAAATTGCATTTTCTACTGGAGTTAATAACAAGCATGCCATTAATCGCTACAGTAAGCATTGCAACTTTTTCTTTCTTCTCTACTATTAGGATTTGTAATCATTTTAATCATTAATAAATTGTAATAAAGATTACTATAGAATTATTGATCTTATCGAGTACACTTTTTCAGATATTTGTACCACTTGGACGTAAACTTTATGTGCCAATATTTTTAAATTGTTGGCTTGCTAAAAGTGCTCTTCAAGCAATTATGGTAAGTATTGTCTTCAAGCGATTATGGTAAGTATTGTCTATTAGTATTGTCTTCAAGCGATTATGGTAAGGATTGTCTATTAGTATTGTCTTCATGCAATTATGATAAGTATCGTCTATTAGTAAAAATCAAAATTTGATATATATGTTAAAGTTATTTCGACAATACTTTGTGTTTATTCATTATCTGAAAGCTCTAATCTTACAAGTAACTTTTTTTAATGTTAAATTCATATCATTTAGGAGAGAGAGGTAGAGAGAGAGAGAGAGAGAAAGAAAAAGACAATTTCATCGGATTTTACTTTATCCATCAATATAATCCCTCTAAAGGATAATATATATATATATCAAAGAGTGTTGGCGTATAGATTAATTAGCTACATCTTTACTTTTACTTCATTATCGTTAATGATTGTTACTTGTTGAAATGATGTTCTTTTATATAATCCATAACTTTTTATCTGCCTTCTTCTGTTTACCATTTAAGCTTAAATAACTTTATCCAGATTGATTTGTAAAGCATTTCCGATTCATTCGAAGTGTCTTGATTTTAGTGAATGTATAGTAGTAATATCCGAAAATGTAAGTTTAGGATTAATTAAATACATGTTTATTTGATAAATGAACCAGAAAATAAGCATATAAATATCCGGTTTTTTTTTTCAGCATGATTCAAATCGTATTTCAACTTCAGTTGGACGGTCAGCTTTGGTTCGCCAAATGGTCATTTTATTTTCCACCTTACTATGCTTGGTATTCACGGGTACATGTGGTATTGAGCATTTACAACGAGCTGGTGAACGACGCTTTGACCTTTTTACTTCGTTTTATTTTGTTATGGTCACTTTTTCCACTGTCGGTTAGTATATCATTGTCGCATATATAGTTTCCTAAATTGTAGTCATTTCATTTCTAATTTTCACCATTTTGACAAAAAAAAAATGGTGACATGGGTTGATATAAGTTGTCTCTATCAGTCGTCTTGCAGTATTCTATGGAGTAACCTTACTTTGGCGGTGATTTATTCTTTTATCATTTGTAGGTTACGGTGATTGGTACCCGGACACATGGATGTCCAGACTTTTTGTTGTTATCCTTATATGTATTGCATTTGCTATACTTCCAAAACAGGTATCATTGATTAATCACAATTAATTACAAGTGCGGTTTTCGATCAAAAATTAATCACTTCACTATTTGAAGTTTGGGGGATAAAATTGGAAAAATATAAGAGCGATTTTTTTTTTTTTTGTTAGACAAAAATACCGAAAAGAATTTGAGATTGAAGCACTTGGGCAAACATACGTGGAACGACAGAAAGCAGGTGGGGAATATACTGAAAGTTGGGCCAGTAATGAGAACCATGTAGTAGTAACGGTGACACATTTGGAGGCTCAATTTATCCGAGATTTCCTCAGTGAATTCTATGCCTATCCTGAACATCAAGTAAGCCTGTTGACAAAATATGACGTCGTTTTTTTGTAAGCTTTGCTCTGGTTATCTTCTTAATTTAATGGGACAAAAGCGCATCTATATCATGATATGCACTTTAATTGGTAATATGTAATACAAAATATGAAGAATTCAGATAGGCATTGCTTTTAAGCTTGCAAGAATTTAAATGATGAATTCAAATCTTTTGATAAATCAAATAATATATAGAATTATTTGGTAATCTTACTGTCACCATGTGAAATGGATAACCGGATGCGAATGCTTCTCAAAATACCCATGTGGTCAACCAGGGTACTGTATATCCGAGGCTCTGCACTAAAGGATGACGATCTCGAAAGAGCAAAAATGGCGAGTGCAAGAGCATGTTTCATCTTATCAGCAAGGCATGTCTATCAAAAAACAAAAACGGTAATGCTAAGATTCATATTTTATCATATTGGCTTAAATATCGAAATTTTAGAAAGTGACCACTTTGGCCAGGGACCACTTTGGCTTTTTTATTTGTAGCAACGATCACAGAGTCCACAAGACGAAAATAACTAATTCTGTTAGTTTGAAAATGAACCCTCAATAAAACTTAGAACAGCATTATAATATTAAAAAAAAAGGAACTTGTTTTCTACTTGCCGGGCCACCACTTTCGGGGATCATATTTTAGTTCTTGCAAATCATCGATTGGAGATCATCAATCTAAAGGATGTTTGGAAGTACGGTAATTTGAGAGTTAGGATTTGAAGAGCAAAGACATGATGGTTTCCGCTTTTTTTTTTCTTCTCAATATACTTACTTTATCATTCTGAGATTTACTGCTTTAAACACGAGTAATTCTATATTCTCAACAAGTAATCCATCTAATGTAACATTGGTATTATCAGTACGTTTTAGGATGAACACACAGTTTTACGCTCATGGGCGGTGAAAGATTTTGCTCCCGATGTTCCGCAATATGTACAAATTTTCCGTCCGGAAACAAAGATGCATTTGGAGTATGCCGGTTGGTTATGATAATTGTTCAGAAAATTTTTATTTTGTAGAGTAGTAGTCGCAAATTTCTTTAAATAGAAATGTTATCAGATTGATAAACAATAATAAATGAGGAAAAGTTTGATGTTCAGATGAAGTCCAGAATCTTCAGTTTACCTTGTCTCTTATTTCTTTCAGAATTTGTGGTTTGTGAAGATGAATTCAAATATTCTCTTCTTGCAAATAATTGCATCTGTCCGGGTATTTCAACATTTATTACACTTCTACTACATACTTCTCATGGAAAGTAAGTTCTTCAAATTGTTGTAAAATGACTTAGAATGTTGCTCTAAAATTGGCACAATTTCCATTAACTTTTTTTTCAGAGAAGGTCAGAAATCGGCGGAAGCTTGGCATAAAGTTTATGGATTCCATTCTGGCAATGAAATTTATGATATTAAAATTGCGAATAGTCAATTTTTTAGTGATTATATTGGGAAATCATTCATTTATGCTTCTTTTCATGCTTATCAAACGTAAGTTTATAGCCAGAATTTCTTAAAAACAACAAACATTTCGCTATCAGATGGTTAAATAGCACTTTCAGAGTACTTCAAATCCACTATCTCCAATAAAGATATCATCCTTTTTGTAAACATGTCATGCTTTCGCATATCAATTGCATCATTTACATCTTATATGACATATCAGTTGCATCATATCATAGAAAGCGTTTACTGCACGTACCTATTGAAGGTATGGAGTTGCCTTGATTGCAATCAAATCAGAAGGGATGTTTGAGAAAATCCGGCTCAATCCGGGTCAGTACTACTACTTGCATCCTATGGATACTGCATATTACATAGCGTTAACTAATGAAGAATCATTGTATGATTTCCGGAAAGGATTAAATGCACAACGACAAAAGGCAAATTTAGCTGCAGCGATCGCAAATATTGGTAAATTTCTCGATTTGTGAACATTAAACTAAAAATTTAACCAATAGAAGATGATCTTCCACCTGTTTATCGAGATCCCGCGAATTTTTTTTAAACATTTTTGTACTTTAAATAAGATGCACAATCGTAGGAGTGTAGTAATTTGAAAAATTTATGGAGAAGAAGGGAAAGGAAGGTAAAATGACTGATTCACCCTTTTTAATTCATTGAAATGAAAGAGAAATTCTTGGCTTAATTCAAAAAATATGTGAATATGCAAATTTTTATTAATATGTGGGTAGTTCTAGCTACCAAGGCTTTATCCCATCATTGGCCTCTTGAGTATTCATTTGCTGTTTTGGCCTTTCAAGTATTATGTATCTGTCTTCCGTGATAGTATAAGTTAATGCTGTAAAGAAAGAATCTGAAATTTTGACCATAAATAATTTATTTTAGGTAGTAAATTTCTGGAAAAGTTGTCTAGATCTTTTTGGATTTTTATCTATTTGAGGGAGAGAGAAGCATTATCATTGTCTAACTTTATTTAGAGTCTCAATCATTAAAGATAAACCAGACTGTTTCTTTACTAAGAGTGATGAAAAACTATTCTCCACATTTTGTTCTGTCTTTTTTGTAAGCTGTTTTTCTTGCTTTTACATGACTTTCCTGATTCAGAATTCTACAACGTTACATAGAATCAATGGATGAATATCATTTCGTGTCTTTCCCAGACAATTCGATCAAACTTCTTGGATTCTTACTTTTATTCTTTTTCAGAAATTCATAATCTAAAATAAGTTATTACTCTTTTTCTGGCTTATTTACACAGTTAAAATTTTGTTACGTGAGATTTTTGAGATTTTTTTTATACACATATATTTAAATTTAGGAAGTGTAACGCTTGATTTACATGGATTAGAAGAGAATAATTTAAAAACGCATAAAAAACGGAAACGACTTTTGTACATTAAAGGAGATGATGACGTGGATGGGACGTCGAAACTTTTAGTTAGTTAAATTGTTTTATTCTAATTGCATCCTTTGTAATTTTATCTCTTCGCTTCTCATATTCCTATTTCGGCAATTGCAGAACACAAATGAATCATTCGATCGAAGACCTAGTATTGGTGAGGTTTTGGAAACAACTATTGAATCTGATGAATCTGACGTAGAATTTCAGCTTTGTACAATCTGTGCTTCTCACGAGGAATGTATTGCCAGAAAGTTTGTTAATTAAAAAAATTGTATTTTGAAAATTGCTGAATAAAGTGAATTCTTCGAGAATGCAGAGATAGGAATTAAAAGAATTGTTAGGTGAATCTAAGTGGGACAATTTCTTTTATGATACATATTGTTTCACATTATCATTTCCGGAATCACCACTATGAAAGGATTAGCTAAGTAGGCATCTATAAAAGGGCTTTTTGAATTGAGCAAAACTGTGATAAGGCCAATGATAAGTATATGTTATCTTCAGTATGACAAGCTATTGAAATAAATATGAAGTTTACAGGACAATAAAAACCTATCCACCGTTGGCCTCATACTTTGGTACTGGATTTACAATCTGCCATATACTCAAAGAGAAAAGACTAATTTGTTGTCTGGAAATTGCATCTGTAAGCAACAAATTTTCATTTTATATCATATCAAAATTTGATTAAAATGATTGACTCTTCTCATCTAAATAGGAATATAGAAAAATTGTGTTTGACATATTTTGTAGGAAATCTTCAAAAATATATTTTAGGCTTGTGAGCATTGCCGTTTCCGGACGGCAAATGAATATCACTGGAATAGTCCGGCAGTGATTGTGGCCGCTGATCAGACATGTTCCGGCTTGTATAATTTGATTATACCTTTACGCGCTTATTATCGTCCTGTGCATGAACTTCAACCCATTATATTTTTGCTTGAATTGCAAGAAACAGAAAGGCAATAGTGTTATTTATTTAAATTATCTTAAAGTTTTCCTGAATTTTCGGAAGCATTTGGTACCATATAAACTTAGAAATGGAAATATTACAATGGTCATCGTCACTTGTTTGAGAAAAAAAAAAACGGTCACTTGAAGGAAATTGAAATGTTATTTGATATTATTAGTAACATTTGGGTTATTTTTTTCAGGCCAAATCCATCATTTTTAGATGTGATTGCATGGTTTCCTTTTGTTTATTGGATGGAAGGTAAAATATCAAGGTAAGTATTCAGTAAGGTATTTGTTATCCTATCAAAAGCATTCACTATCTTAATAGTTCAAAGATTATGAATATGTACTATTTTCATTTTCTATTTACTTGCCTAGTAATGGGCTTTAACTGCAGTATGTAGATAAGAGTTGTAAAATTAATTTCATTTTTTCAAAAAAAAAAAAGTGTTAACAATGAGAAATTCATTGATTACGCAAAAAGCCTTTTGCTAAAAGCTTTATGTTCAAGTTCATATTCATATTTCAGTTTGGATAGCCTTTTGAAAGCAGGTGTTTGTCTAGCGGATAATGTAGTTGTTGTGAAAGAAGGTGCAACAGCAGTTGAAGAGCACTTGGCTGATTGTACGACAATTCTAACAGTACAAAAGATACACAGGTCTTGTGAGAAGTATATTTAACTTAGAAACCTGCAAGGAAGTAAATTGAAGATGGAAACCTTCTTTCTTTTTAATTTACAAATTTTGAATTAAGAAATTTATTTTTCACTACGATTAATATCATAGTATTCTTGCATGTCCTTACGTGGTTTACGTGGTTTACGTGTATCATTCATTTTAGAATGTTTCCAAGATTACGAATCATCACAGAGCTTACTCATGCTAGCAATATGCGTTTTATGCAATTTGATCCTGATGATCGTTATGCTCTTCAGCAGTCTAAATATGAAAAGGTATATTTTGCTATTAATTTTACGAATAAATCGCACCGTTAGATTTTTGCATAATTTTTTTAGCTATCATTTTATTCATTCACCACAGATAGGTTATTATTTTTTAAATCGATGGCTTATTAAATTACATCGATATTATATCATTTTTTATTTCCGTAAAATATTTTTCTGTTATCCGGATGCTAAAACATACCGGATGCATTGATTCTAGTTACTTTTGATCCTTAGATGTTAATATTTATATGATTTGTTATACGATATTTCTATTTGATATAAAAACGTTTCATTTCACTTTTAAACCAAAAAAAGTTTTAAATTTAAATTTTATAATTTAATTATTTAGAAAGAACGTAATCGTGGATCCTCAATGCCATATATGTTTCGATTACCATTTGCGCAAGGTGGTGTTTTCTCCGCAAATATGCTCGATCGTTTACTATATCAAGCACATGTCAAAAAATTATGTAGTGGATTTTATTCGATTACTACTTGGTATTGACC